GAACCGCTGACCTGCTGATCTAGCAGTAGCCTGCAGTGCTGCTTTTAACCACTGCGCCACCTTGGCTCATACAACCCCTGGTATGCCCAAATATGGGAGGAAGCTTACTGCTTTTATTTATCAACACAAATACAACACAAATGTAACAAAGGCAACAGTAAAAATATTGGGTTTCTGTCTGGATGGTCTCTTGTGACGAGCTGATAGACAGAGAATGGAAGGAGTAAGCTTCCTCCCATATTTGGGCATACCAGGGTTTGTGACACTAAATAAATATACATACATACATACATAGTCATAAATTCCAAAAAATATACATTGTAGTTACTGTTAAATTCAACACACGTACGAAAGTACTATACCAGTTTGACATATATTTAAGACAGCTGTAATTTAGTCCTTTCACTTAATAATGAGTTTAAAAAACTGAAACATAAGCTTTATGTATATTTAGGCCTGCATTTATCAATGCTAATCTTGTAAACATTTACCTGAATTCCCGTACATAAACAAAATGAAACATAAAAAGGATTTTTATAAAAAATAACATTGAAAATACAATAAAATAAGCATTTTCTATGGTAGCATTTTCTATTTTAGAAACAGATTAGAAAAAAGGGACAAGTGAACCATCAAGACTGCCCTTTGAGGTTTTTTTTTTGGTTCTTTCATTAATTAATTATTTTTAATATTTGTTTTCATAGTTTGTCTATAAATTATTTTTATAGTTTTCTTATAGTGAACCAAAAGGTCAGACTGGACTTGGCATTTTTATCCATTTATTGAGTCCTTTTCAAAGACTTGAGATAAATGGATTATTTTTAATTTATTTAATTTTATTTTTTAATATTTGTCAGATGATGGACTTTTATGATATTTTTAGTCGCCTACAGTACATCACAGTTTACTTACTAATTAGCTTTCCTGCCATATCCTTGTTGGACCGCGATTCCTTTGGGTGTTTGTAGAGATACATCACTGCTCTTCCAATCCCACTGTGTTTTAAGGTCTCCTGGCTCACACTAGGTAACTACAAAAAAGAATGACAAAAAACCATATTCCGCTTAAACTTCAGAATTGCAGTCTTGTTTTGATAATAAAAGTCTAAGCATATTAAGCATATTAGGTACAAATATATTAAGCATATTAGGTACAAATTTCAGGAAGGAATTTTTTTAAAGTGGAAAGAAACAGATGCTCAGGTGAGCTATGACATTCTCGACAGAGAAGCTGGAAGAAATTAAGCATCTATTAGAAATAAGTAAATTCAGAGATTCTCCTATGTTCAAGTTTCTTTCTTAACTTTTATAGAATTTGGTTTTACAGAGCAGCTATACTTCATTATTTTATTGGTTTTAAAATGAAACTACTTCTGTAGGTACTGAAACTGTGCAGAAACTGATATCACGATTCATCTTACTGCTATGTGCCTATTAATCTCACAAAGATAAATTTTATAAAAAGCAAGGATGCCAAATAAATTATGCTGACTCTACATGCATGGGAGGCTGACCTCTTGCAGAATCTTCAAGAGCTCTTCTCGAATTTTCAGGGCAGGAAGACTCCGATCTGGTAATGGAGAAAGCCACTCTTTGATGGCTGACATCACACCACTGTCAATGAAAGTTTCCTTCAAGTCCTGCCTAAAAATTGAAAACAAAATGTTAAGCTACTTCAAAAGTAAGGAAAGGGGTATATTGTTGGAAATAAATCAATTTCTTTCTTTATTGCCACTGAACAGTCCATGCTTAAAACGACAAAAAATATTAAGACAGGATGGGAAGCTTTTTTGAATTTTAAATCACCTACACTATATTGCCAAAAGTATTCTCTCACTTGCCTTTACTCACATATGAACTTACTGCAAGTGACATCCCATTCCTAATCCATAGGGTTCAATATGACGTCAGTCCACCCTTTGCAGCTATAACAGCTTCAACTCTTCTGGGAAGGCTGTCCACAAGGTTCAGGAGTGTGTTTATGGGAATTTTTGACCATTCTTCCAGAAGCGCATTTATGAGGTCACACACTGATGTTGGGCGAGTTTACGTGGCCCACCACTTCGTGGCTGTCATTCCCAAACACTTCCACGTTCTTGTAATACAGCTGACAGTTGACTGTGGAATATTTAGGAGCGAAGAAATTTCACGACTGGATTTGTTGCACAGGTGGCATCCTATCACAGTTCCACGCTGGAATTCACTGAGCTCCTGAGAGCGACCCATTCTTTCACAAATGTTTGTAAAAACAGTCTGCATGCCTAGGTACTTGATTTTTATACACCTGTGGCCATGGAAATGATTGGAACACCTGATTCTGATTATTTGGATGGGTGAGTGAATACTTTTGGCAATATAGTGTATGTAGCCACCTTCTGGTTACAACACTTTGCCCTGCTGATCTATCCATTTGATTTCTGTATTGGGCAAGATCTTTGAAGAGACTATCAAGCAGCATCTCTATGAGCACTTGAGTCAATTAACAGGAGCAGGCAAAGGTTTTTTGCAAACAAACCATAGCAGACCAATTTTATAATCTTCTTGGATAAAATTTATTAGTGGATTGGGGAATGCATAGATACAATATACTGGACATGTACCTTAGCAAAGCCTTATAACAAATTGCTTCATAGCAAAATACAAGCTAAATTAGTTAAAACCTTCTGGCTGAACTGTAAACCAGTGGAACAGTCTGCAATGTGATGTGTTGAATTTTCATTTGCTAGATGTCTTCAAAAGACACGGATTGAGACAGGATTGTCATCTGTCAGATAACCTTTGGATCATACTCTAAGCAGGTAGTTGGACTAGATACTTCTAAGTTTCCACTGAATCTTATGATGCTTAAACACTTAAAGAATAACTTTTAGAGAATATAAGCTAATTTGGTGCAAATACCTAAATAGTTTGAATGCACATGAATATGTAGATCCTAATTATTATAAGTAAATGATTCACTGATACTGTCAACAGATTTGTAGCTAGATTGGCTCTACTTCAAACAAGTTATTTGAAAAAAAAAATTATCATGGTAAATTTTATTCACCTTATTTAAAATTATTTGGAAATTCAGTGATTTTAATAAAACTTTCCAAAGTATAACAAAACTTTAAAAGTCATGTTATTTTCAACAGAATGTTAGTCTTCAAAATTTTTAATTCATCTCATTTCAAAATAACAAATCAAATTTATTTAAACAAAGGAGAATTGCAGTATCTACTTATCTAGATAAAAATAAATAACAGTTAGCATATGACCATCTACAATATATCATAGCTGTTTTCCAATACAGAAAAAACAATTAGAGTTTTCCTTACTTTTTAAGATGCATGACTACAGTTGGGAGCAAAGTTAATTTCTTTAGTGCTGGTTTCTTCTGTGTGTTCAACTGTCTGTCCTCCTGCAAGAAATTATACATGGCATTAAAAATAAGCAGAAAAAAGCAAAATGCTTAAAACACTTGCAGATAAAATCAACTACTATCTTTTTTTAGAGAAATAACTAAAAAGGAAGCCTAAGCCTTAACTATAAAACTAAGAAAAAAATAACAATTATGGCTGTTTAAATTTCACTGATATTTCTTCATTTATATGAGGTTTTTTATGTATTGAATTTTTTATGTACTAAAGACGCGGTGGCTCAGTGGCTAAGACGCTGAGCTTGTCGATCAGAAAGGTTGGCAGTTCAAATCCCTAGCACCACGTAACGGAGTAAGCTCCTGTTACTTGTCCCAGCTTCTGCCAACCTAGCAGTTTGAAAGCACGTAAAACTGCAAGTAGAAAAATAGGAACCACGTTCCATGCACCTTTGGCGTTTAGTCATGCCTGCCACATGACCACGGAGATGTCTTCAGACAGCGCAGGTTCTTCGGCTTTGAAATGGAGATGAGCATCTAGTCATGAACCTTTACCTATCTACTGAATCAGTGAGATTTCTGTATCCAGATAGTTCACAGAAGTTCATTCAGTGTACCCATCAGCCACACAAGAGCACTTATACTCTTTGTGATATTAGGAAGAAGCAGGAATAACAGTTTTTTTTAAACATCTTGATACTCTCCTAGGAATGTGAACTAACTAAATAAAAAGGGCAAATTTAACAAGCAATGCTGTACTTTGTAAACAGAAAGAATGTGATGAGCCGCTTTTAAAATATTTGCAGATTAGACATCAGAATTTAGATCACTATAAGCTTTGGCTCTACAGGTAATCCTCAACTTATAACCATTTATTTAACAACTATTGAAAACTGACAGCACGGAAAAAAGTGATGTGACAGGTCCTCACATTATGACTCTTGCAGTTCCCCTGTGGTTATGTGATCAAATTTCAGGTATTTGCCGACTGGCATGTATTTACAGAAGTTGTCAGCATCCTGGAGTCATGTGACCAGCATTTGTAAGCTTCCCAGGGGGCTTCTGACAAACAAACTCAATGGAAAAAGCTGGATATGCTTAATGATTGCAGGAAAAAAGTGGGAGTTTAAAATTAACCACAGCTCACTTAGTGACGGCATTATAAATGGCAGAAGTCTGGTCCCAATTTTGGTCATAAATTCAGGAATCCTCTACTCAATTCAGTGAGACAAACAATCCAGTTTAAAATAATTTCATTTGCATGAAGTATATCCTTACAAGCCTTGGAAAGCAACAGACACACCTCTGCGGCTTCAGTCATCTTAACAATCATGGCACTGACTACATCGTCAGCATCACTAATGAATGTCCCACCATCCCGATTGCGCCGGCGTTTGCCACTCATGCTCTTTTTCCGTTGTAACATCATATCAAAATCTGACATGAAGTCCATACTGAAAGAGAAATTCAAAGATTAACAGAATATAATAACATCTTAAACAAATTTAAGCAAGGATGGTTTTCTTACATATAATACATGACATATTTGGTACAAGTCAATCAACAAAATAATAAAGAGCACTTTATTTACTTCTAAAAATTATGACATAGAATTTACAACTTTGGCGGCAATCCTGAAATTATAAATGTACTGGTATTTAAAGAAAAAGAATAAGCTAGCAGCCTTAAGAATCACAAAAAGCAATAGTATGGAAATGTCTTGTTTTGTTACTCATGACAAATAGAAGTTTCAAACTGTAAATTAGGATTTGAGTTATCTGTTATCATCACAGTATAGAGTGAAAAAAGCCAAGTGGTTGTTTTTTTTTACATTTTTACCACTTTAGGACTATAGTTCCATTCTTTACCTTGAATCCCATGGGATACGTTAAAGGCTCTGCATAGACAAAAACACACAGAGCCTAAACAAAAGTTTTGTGAAAGCAAGTTGGCTATGAAACCAAAAATACAAACAATGGAAAAGTGCCTGACTTTCAAAGGGTGCCTTGTCCAGTATATGGTATAGGAGCATGGTTGGAATGGTTTTGTAGAGGGTTTGATTAATATCAGAAATATACTGATTTACAGAAAGCATTGACTTCCTCATCTGATTAGCTCTGCCTTCTATGTAGAAGAAGGCAACATAGAATTCTAATAAAAACAAAACACTTGCCCCAATTAATTTTTTTTACTAAAGTTTAGTATGTGGGTCTTCCTCAAACTTGAATTAGGATTAGGAAAATGTAATTTTAAACTGGGGAGGGGGAGAGAAATAATGCATGTATGCTATGTTGAAATGCCTAAAGAAATGGCAGGATTTTTAAATGTGATATATAATTTGATATACATCAGATCAATTTGGTTTCTTGTAACTATCATAAGAGACCTACTGTTTTCCTCTTTTGATATTGTCATCAGAATCTGACTCATCTGCTACTTCTTTTCTTTCTGCTTTCTCCTCTTCCAAATCCTCTTGGTTAAATCCCTTGGGTTAAACACAACAGAAGTTGGTTAAATATAATGTACATTTTTAAGAACACTTAACAGAGATCAATCATAGCATTTAAAGCTTTGAAGGTTCACAGTAACATTTCATCCATGACATCACATTTCCAGCTGGCCAAGGCTATCGATTGTGCATCCAGCAACAGATAGCTAACAAACTAATACAATTCAAAGGTGATGAAAAGGCATGCAGGATTTTGGAAGTGTCCAGAATATTTCCATCAGGCAGGATGATAAAAAGGTAAAGAGAGATAATCCGGCTTCAAGCAAAACTGATATGTTTACATAGGTTTTTTGGCATTATGGAAGTAGCTTGCTAATGGTCTTCAGAAGATGCAAATACAGCTAATCTCTGGGACTAAAGCAAATAGCATGGTTTCAACACCAGCAACTTATGTTTAGTTAGGTTATTCTTTTTCTGTTTGTTTTGTCTTTATTACTATTTATTCATTTTTATGTTTTTATTGTGTTTTTATATTTTATGGTATTCAGTGGGGGGTCTTTCAAATCCAGAAGCAGAAAAACAACAACAGTATTTTCCCAATGAAGTGTGGCGAACTTGAAAAAGGCTTATTATTTTGTTATCAAAGTCTAAGAAATCTATTTAACTAAGATGAAAGTGACTTAAAGGAGCATGCATTGGCAGATGCCTCCAAAGTACAGGAAGGAGTGATGTATGGGAAGAACAAAATAGAAATTCATGATAACTTACTGTAAATTCTTCTTCTTCCTCATCTCCAGATTCTCCAAATATATCTGCTATGAGGTTTCTAGGGGGGCGAAAAAGCTGATGTTCATAACCATTTTCTGGGCATGCTACCTAACACTACAACTTTTATTTATTTAAAGAATTTATATGGACACCTAACTTAAAACACCACTGGATAGTTTACAAAAACATCAAATATTTGTCTCATCTATTTAAGTTCTGTTCCAGAACTTAATCTTGTAATTTAAAATTACTTACTCTTGCTCATTTCCTGACTCGCTGTCACTTCCAAAAAGATCTTTTTCTTCTTCTTTTTTCTTTCCACTGTCATCCTTATCATCATCTTCCTCACTATCAGAAGCGATAGATTTCTTTTGCTTTTCATATTTCCCTGATGTAGCATCACTATCTGATTCATCACCATCAGAGATAATGCGGCCCTTTTTGGCAGCTGCCAACAGATGAATAAATAAATGAATCAAAAACTGAGCCAACATGGAGCAAAATAATCATCAACTACTTGAAAAAAAATATCCTTAACATTAAAAAGGAATTATTTGCAACTGCAGAAAAATTAAACTTGTGTCAAGTAGAAACTAGTCCTCCTAGCTTTATTAAGAATTGCAGTAACCACTCTGAAGAAATAAGATCCCATTTTAACACCTTTGTTATATAGTTTGCTTAAAAACAGCATGATTTCCCCCCCCCAAAAGATTTTAGATCTCTGCCAATTCATTTTTATCATGTCTTGTTAATTGATTGTACCAAGACAAAGTTTTCAAACTGCTATGTTGTAATGTCAAACAGCAACCGTTTGGGATGGGGGTAGAGTACAATGGGCAACTGTTTGGCCCATTTTCTTTTAATGAAGAGAAATCATCCACCACCTGCACCTTAGAAAGTTCATTTTGGACTCCTGCAGTATTTGTAATACAATCAAGATAGACTGAAGAAGTCACTTGGATAAGCAGTGAAAGATTTCAAACCAAAAAAGGAAAGAAGTCCAATTGCTATGACTCAACTTCCAGAGAACTACACTGGATAAATGAGTCTCTTCATTGACATACTGAAGATTGAACATAATTTTATTTTTAAACATGAATATTAAAAGAAATCTGCACTTTATGCTTTGGTATTTCTGATTGCTCCTCTGTATTCTTTATTGAAAAAAATTATATTCCTCAAATATTTGATTACTGATGTGGAAAGAATGGATAGAACAGAAAGTGCTAAAGTTGGAGCAAAAAAGTACAAATATATAATATATATCTAGGGAAGATAGGGAAGTTGCAACAATGCAATAGTTCTACTTTTCTCTACAATTAAGTGAACACACTAAATTGCTTTTCCCGTACTTTTCTAAACTGGACAGAGACTGAGGACAACTTCTAGCAGCTGGGGTTCACCAGTGTCCTTTTTACTGTGGTGGCTTAATGTTTCAGCGGGTAGAATAAGGGCATACTGATATCAACAGAATTTGAGAAATTTTTCACATCCTTTCCTCCAACTTTTGAGGATTCAGCTTTTAAAGATGTGTTACATTTAGTATATTCTAAAGTACGAGAAGGTGATACGGTTAGACATATCAAAATGAATCACCGTTCACACATATATTTACACATTTATCCCCTGTTCTGCACGATTTATTTCTACTGAATGTGCAATGCCTAATGGCAGGATTGCTTATGCATTTTATTCACCTGGATGATGCAAATGATAATAAGCTGATGTGAGACTCATCACATATAAATGTTCAGAGCCAAACCTTTATGTCACACACATCATAGCATATATAGACTGAAAATTAGTTCTGAATTCATTTTTCCTTACGTGTTCTTTCTTCATCTTCACTATCAGAGAGCACAACAGCTTTCCTTTTGGTCAACTTCTCCTCCTCTTTTCCATCTTCTTCATCACTGTCTATCTTCTGTTTTTTGGGACTTCCTTCTTCTTCACTGTCAAAGCCATGAAGTTTCTTTCCAATATCACTATCTGAAAGCTGAGCATTATTCACCAGTTCCTCTTCTTTCTTATTTTCTCCATCACTGTCACCTACCTCTATTTTCTTTTTATTTCTGGAGGGATCTTCAGATTCAGAGTCACTGGACTGGACCTTCTGCTCCTCATTTTCAGAGTCACTGACAACAGGCTTTTTCACTGTCTCATTTTCTGAATCAGTGTCATGACTTTTTGGGTGCTCCTCAGTTTCGGAGTCACTGATTGGATGTTTCTGGGGTTCTTCATTTTCTAAATCACTTTCATGCCTTTTATGCAAACTCTCATGTTCGGAATCACTGCCCGTGTGCTTTGGAGGTTCCTCATTTTCAGATTCACTGCCATGGCCCTTCGGAGGTTCCTCAGTCTCAGAATCACTGGCCTGATTATTTATAGCATCCTCATTCTCAGAGTCACTGGCAGGTTGAACAGGATTGTCTTCAATATCGGAATCACTATCTTTCTCTCTATCAACCCCTTCATTTTCTGAATCACTGCCATTATGATTAACGGCATCCTCGTTTTCTGAATCACTATGTTTCTCTCTCGGTGTATCTTCATTTTCCGAGTCTGTCATGGGATGTTCTAGAGTTTGTCTGTCATCTTCCCCATCACTAGGTTCATTCTGGAAAAATAAAAATAATAATATCAAGGTAGCTGCTGAAAGTAAATGAAGGCCAACTCAAAAAATATAATTACATCAAAAATGATCACTGGTATTACAGATGAAATGTTTAGCATTAAAATAGAATTTAACTGTAAATTAAGTACAGGTAGTCTTGCAATAAGACCGTAATGGAACCTGCCCATTACATGCTGTTGTTAAACAAAATGGCTTCACTTAACCTCCAGCAAGCAAGGGGACATCAGGCCAGTCGAAGTTTCCAAACTCCAGCAAGCAAGGGGACATCAGGCAGTCTGTAGCCTCCAAGTAAATAAGGGGAGATCCCACCCAAGAACTTGCAAGATTTGCTTACTCTAGGTCGCAGAAACACTCAACTTACCTTTCTGTTTTTTGCAGCTTCTAAGAGAGGCACCCAGCCTGATACGGGATCAGTATCTTACTGTCACAGCCTAGTGGCAAACTCCTGCTATTTTGCAACAAGGTTTTGTTTATTTATTGTTTTAAGGAGGCTCCATTTTTTAAAGGAGGCTCAATTTCTTTGTGGAGGTTCACAAGAATAGCAATAGCACTTAGAATTATATACTTCACAGTGCTTCATAGCCGTTTCTAAGCAGTTTACAGAGTTAGTATATTGCCCTCAATAATCTCGATCCTCATTTTACTAACCTTGGAATCAATCTTGGAATCAAGACTGAATCAATCTTGAGCTGGTGAGAATCAACTCCTGGCAGTTGGCAGTTAGCAGAATTAGCCCGCAATACTGCATTCTAACCATTTTGCCACCACTTGCTTTGTCATTAGGCTAGGTCTGTTAAGAAAACTGACAGCTAGTGATGAATGCACACTAGGACGACCTAAAGATTAGGTTAGGGACAGATCATCATGAAGAAAATCTAACTCCGTGGTTACTAAGAGTTGACATCAACTTAAAGGGATGTATTAAATCATTCATTCATATTAGCAAATCAATTATGTTAAAATTTTCCATTCATACAACTTAAAATCAACAAATACTTAAATAATATAGGAAAATATTAAGTGAAATACTTTCAAAAGCAACCTTCTATTCCATCCCAAATTACTTTTTCAGCCTGAGCCCTTTTTCAAAATGGTTCAGTTAACAGTACTAATAGCTATATAATAATGAGTGTTATTGCAAACCTTGTTGAAATATACATATGAAATCTATGCAAATTTTTTGAAAATGTTTATTATTTCTTGTACATTTTGAAAAAATTAACTGTAGTGTCAAAACATTACTATCCTTTACTTTATAGTGAAATATTGCAATTTGCAGTTACTTTTAAAAGATCATATAAATTAAATATTAACTATTAACTTTTAAGAAATCTTTTGCTTAAACAGATAGGAACTATAGGCAGAATAATTTCCAGTTAATTTAATGTGTGTGTGTGTGTGTGTGTGTGTGTGTGGTGTGTGTGTAGTATTTGTGCTGATAAATAAATAAAGGGAGACTAGTATAGATCTATTTCAAGCTATTTAGCTCTCATCAGCTAGCCATACCCTTATTGGGATTCGAACCTGGGCTGTATTGTATATTAGACAGATGTGTTAACCACTAACACAGGCTCTGATCCGTTATATATACATACACACACATACACACACACACACACACACACACAAACAAATTTCCTGACTACCTCTGAATGTTGTCCTATGCTGCCGTTCTCTGATCCAGAGTGTTGTTCATTTCTGTTATCTTCCATGTCCGATCCCGAATCACGCTCATCCTGTACTGGTGTGGCTCCACCATCATCTGTAACACATTGTTTAAATCAAACTAAAAGTTGATGATGATTTTCAATACATAGAAACAATTACATCAATGCAAATGAATATTGTACTAGTTTTAATTATCTCTATATTCTTGCCCTTTGTTTAAAACCAGCATGAGACTGCTGAGAATGGTAATTTACCACTCTGGAGTCAATACATGGGTAATACCGCACTTTTCCCTTTAGCATTGATGGACAATTTGAAGGTCTTCACATGTGGACTTACCACTTCTGCATTGCATCATCGTCAGCTAAGACATACTTTGTATAAATCCATTTTATGTGCCAATTATTCATTACCTAGACCAGGAAGCTTTTGGGCGGTCGCTCATACTCTGGTCACTTCATGCAATGTGCTCTACTAGGGGCTGTTCTTGAAAATCATTTGCAAACTGTAGCTGGTGTGAAATGCAGTGCCATGGACAATTATGGATATATTTTGCCAAGCCCGTGTAACCCCTTTACCTTGTAAGCTGTGCTTAAAAGGTCACATTTTGGGACCTTTTATGCTATATGCATCATTTTAAATTGGGCAACCTTGAAAATGGTTAAAATAAAAAATAAAAAAATAACAGAAACAAAACATTGAACTAAAATATTCCATAATTAAGGTTTGTTTAGACATTCACTTTCAGTCAGGAGCTGGAATACCATGGAGCTAGATACACAACATAGTCAAGATTATCAATCCTGAAATACTGTAAACATATTCAGTGAACTATGGAAACAGATGCTCATTCCATACAAATAATGTAGAGAGGTATAGGAGTGGGGCAGCAACTATTTATATAATGTTCATTGAGAAAGTTTGTGTTCTGGACTATTTAAAAAGGGAGACATAACTAATTAGCTTATCAAAATGAATTTAACATGACTTAAAATGTTAACAATATAATGTTAACTAATAGTTCCCGTTTACAAAAAGTGGCACTGAACTCTGCCCGATTACTGGCTCATCAGTCTCCTTAGCATTATCAGTAAATAACATGCCAGATATCTATTCATTTAAGTTCCAGCATTGGCCAGACCTAGAAAAATACAGTGTTAATCAAGAAACAAGTTGAATTTAGAAATGCTCTCTCTACTTTTACCATGCACTTATTCTGCAACATCTGAAAAAATACACTTAAAAACCATGTGCAAAGCTATATGCAGCCTTCACTGATTTTATAGCAATTCTTGATTTCATTTCCCATCCTAATCCAGCATGAGCTTCAAAACCTTTCTATCTATAGATAGAAGGTTCTTTCTGTTTATCTATAAATTATAGGACAACTCAATTATAAAGGTCAGATGCATCACCCACAATCATTACATCAAGAAAAATTCTGCTAACAGAAGAGTTTGGCACAGATATATTCTGGAACCATTATTATTCAATTATTACTACAATTCTTTAGTTGCCAGGATGAACAATTTCTCCCATTATCCTTCAAAATAGGCAGAGCAATATACAGTAATCCGTTTTTAAGCAGATGGGAGTAGTTCTGCTCTCCCAGTCCTATATTGGTCTAAACAGAGCATTGCAAATTTGGCTGAATACTGAATACAGTAATCCTAGAAATCAAGTATAGTAAGACAAAGGCATTGATGTTTGCCAAACACCGTAAAAATACATCTGGAAATCAAACAATTATCCAATTGAATTTAAATATATAAGTACACTAAGATTTAAATAGTGTTGTATTTTATGCCATACCTACATGTAAAATGTATGTTTAATATGTAGCTCAAAAGCTCCAAAATCAGCTACATCCCTGCAAAAATTATTTTGCAGTAAATGGTCATTTCTTATTCTTGCTGCATTTTGAATGCGCTCAGAACAAGTTCAAACACAATTATCATTTGGTGCCTAGATAGATTCATACCTCTTTTGCCCCCTTGGAAAGGGTTCAGACTAAGTTCTTCAGGAGCATATTCCAAGTGTTCCATATGTAATTCTACATTGAGAGGATGGTATCAGTAAGATTGAATCCAGTGGTTGGATATGAATTGTCAGGTAGTAAACTAAATTGTTCTTTTCCCCAGAAGATCAAATTCCTTGGGTTCTTTCCAATAACTTTGTTTCCCTTTGAACTAAGGCAACACAGAGAACTGGAACTCCTGGGTTTTTTCCTAATTTCATTATGTATTCTAGGACATGATTATACAACAGAAGTAATCAAATGCTATAAAAAAACATTGTTATTCAACCCAACCTGGTATTTCTCCTTAATGACATATTTTAAATAGTTCTTGCATACCTCTCAGACCTGCCAGTTATCTAAACCAATTGCTATCCCAAAACTAAGGTTGGCACAATTAATGTGGCGCAATTCAGTATACTTCTATCAGTAATTTTAAAGGGCAGATACAAGGGTAACCCATTCAGATCCAAATTATGCCCAACCAGAGGACTCACTGAATTCACCAAATTTATATTGTTTTATGCTGATGCCTGTTGTGAGCTGTTAACTAAATTTCCTGATCATTTTCATCAGTTTTATTTAAAGCTCTTATTCCAGACTCAATTCTTTAAGCGTGGCCAAATTATATCATGCAATATGTAAGAAGAGCAACACTTTGATTGGTTTGCTTACTTAATTTATTAATTACTATTGGTATTATGTATATGATGTACTTTATGGACTAGTCACTGGCTACAATAATATATATATTTCTCTCTCAATTGCATTGCAGTATATTTCTATTCTACACTAGACATAAAAGTGAAAATATAGTAGGTTCCTTAACATACTGTCTTCATGATTTTGGACTACAATATCTCTCACCATTAATCATGGTGTTTAAGCTGACATAAACTGTAGTTTAAAATAAGTTAATAAAAGTCGTCATCACTATTCTATAATTACTATACAGAAGCAAAGAAGAGGAAACTTTACTTGAAGAATTGGCTCCACAAAACATTTCCTTTTTTTTGGGAAATGTTACTAACTGAAAGCTCATTCTAATTTTCCACTGCGTAGTAGAATGAAAATAAACTAACACGAAAAAAGATAAATCTATTCATCAAGTGAAATGCATGCATCCCTTTCAAACATTCAGTCAACTGAAAGCCAGTTTGGTGTAGTGGTTAAATATTCTGGCCTAGAAATCAGGAGACTGATTCTTCTAGTTCCACTTTAGGCATAAAAGCCAACTGGGCGATTTTGGGCCAGTCTCTCTCTTAACTAATCTCACATGTGAGGAGTTCACCACTTGAATTACTTATATAGTGGTAAAGGTGGGATAAAAATCTAGTAAATAGTAGATCTCCATTCTTTTTGAAATTATACTTGCTATCCATACTTAATTAAAAACTTCAACTGTATAAATAATACTACAAACAACAACCCACCCAAAATTCAGTATTTGGGCTGTGCAGAAATCTGGATTTAATGGGCATCTCCATAACACACACCTCCACACACTACTCTAGCCATACAAATTGAATTCCATTTTATCTTTGTTCCTTCCCCTCCCACCCCCTTAGTGATTAGAAAATTAAACAAAAGCTTCAAGAAGTGAGTTTGGTGAACTGGAGAATGTTTCCTTCTTTTGTCCTCCGCAAAAGGTCTAAAAGCATCACAGCTCATAGGAGGACAAAAATCTGTATCCCTTCCTTGTTTTCGAAACTATATTTTGAAACCTACCAATTATCAAAACACAACATAGCAACATGACACCCAATTAAGCATATTGGGCAAATTTCTCTCTCCCTGCACTTTCATTCAACATATCAGCTTCGTCCCGACGATTACTGGAACGGTAGCCCAACTGATCTAGAGGCTCTCGGGTTGAAGAGAGGCTGAGGAACTCGGGCAACGGTCCGGCACCAAGAGATTCATTAACACAATGGGGCGTAACGGATCCAGTTGCCGGAGCAGCAAGAAAGCTCGTGAACCCCCTTGCTCTCTCCCTCACGTGCAACCCTACAGTCCAAGTCCTACCAGCCGAGCCGAGCTCGCCCTCCCGCCTCCTCCGACTGTACCTGACTGCTCCCCACAGTAATACTCCGTCTCCATAGCCCCGCCTCCCACTACAACCGGGGGGGGGTGCTCCGATGGGAACGGCGGGAGCCAAAGAGGAGCTCAGACACCGGATCGAAGCGGGGGGGGGAGGGGAGGGAAGAGGGGGTAGGAATCACCTTCCAGTATCTAAGCCGGAAGCAACAGTATCCACGATCTTCCCATCAGCCCTCGCGCCGTAGTTCGGCAGTTCCGCAGGTCTGAAATGGCGCCCCCGCCCCCCGCCCCGAGCGGAACCCAGGCGCTCTTCCGCTTGCGATAATTGGCAGGGCCGTTGCTGTCGCAGAAGCGTTCCAAGAGGAAGGGCGTTGGCTTCGCTGAGCCCGTCGGTGCGAGGTTCTCGGACCAGAGAGATACGAAAGGGGGAAGAGTAGCCCTTCGGGTATATCTTGGAGATTTTCGGCGGGTTATTATGAGACTTAGAATCGCACAATGTTTTGAGGAACTACAGTAGATAGGAGAAAACTGATGAGCGTTTATTCTTCCTGGGATAGTTAATACACAAAGAAAAAACCGGCAGTTTTTAGAACAAGGAGTTAGTACTCTATTTTCAGACTGTTGTCACGTGTGTGGGGGGAAAAACACAACGGGCTTTACAGATTTCCTGTGCTTAATCCATTTTTTTGCCTCGGACTTCAAAAAGGCGCACGCATTTTAAACATACAGGCAGTTAAGAGGAGTGGCCGTGGTTTCTCTCTAAGCGAGAACTTTAATCCTATTGTTTTAGCCTCCGCTTTGGCGGTTTTCATTAAATAAAGCCGCGGTAACATCGGTATAGATCATTCCCATTTCAGCCTTGAATGAAGAAGACTACAAGTTCTTTGCTACAAACATCCGGCCAGCCACTAGATAACAGATTAATTTTCCTTTACCTTATTGATGTCATTTAGCTGTCGCCCGGGTTCCGGATTATATTAACCCGTGAAACGACAGCATCTAATAGTGTAGCCCATTGTTATTAATCGAGGTTATAAAAATATTGATTTGCATTTGCAGTCACACGTCCCTTCTAAATCTGAAGTCCTCTTCAAGAATGCAAAAAAGTTGCCTCCCATCCTTTGCTGCTTTCCCTTGTAGAAAGCTCTCTGAGCTTATATCTCAAGAGGGGAAAAGTCTTTAGAAAAGTTTAAGCAAACTGTAATAACATCTAGTGAAAAGCTATAGCATGCTAGCCTTAGAAGACCATACTGTGCTAAGGCCCCTAAAAAAACATCAGAAAACATTATTGGGATGATTGTGGAAATTTCCATACAGATCAATCTCGGACTTATCACCATAATTGGGACCAACATTTCCATTGAGTGACACCCAATTTATGGCCTTTTTTGCCATAATTGTTAAACGAAACACTGCAGTTAAGTGAGTCTTGTGCTCATTAAGAGAATCTGCTTCACACTGATTTTGCTTATCAGAAGCTGGCTGGAAAGGTTACAAATGGTGACCGTATGTCCCTGAGATACTGTAGCCTTCATAAATATATGCCAGTTGCCAACCACCCAAATTTTGACCATTTGATTGTGGGGATGCTGTGATGGTTGTAAATGTGAGGACCAGTCATTACTTTTTTTCAGTGCCATTGTAACTTCAAACATCACTGAATGAATCGTAAGTCAAGGACTTATCTGTACATGATTCCTAGCTAATGACTAATACAGTGATGCAACAGTAAAACCAATAGATGAAAAAGAAACCCTTGTTCTGCAAAAAAAAATTGAACATAGGCCCCCAACAATTGATTAGTAGTTTCAGCAACTCCACAAACTTCACATAAATTATCCAGCTTTCCAATAATAAATGTGTCCCTTGCAGAGCAATATCCAGGTAAAACTCTTAAAAATGAAAGCTGATGGGCTCTGCCAGAAATGTCAAAAAAATGAAACCCACTAATCTGTAAATGAGGAATGTCAGTATCCCATTCCTTTACCAGATGTTTCCTGTATCATGTTTAACCCAATTCCTGACCTCCTTGGTTTCACTAATTCTGAGTACAGTCTTGGGTGCCTTTCACATCATGTTACATTGGCTTTGTCTGCTGCCACACCTCAGTGAATGGCTGCTGCACACATTGAAGCATCAACAGACTCCTGTGGAGGCAAGTATCAGCTTCCCAGTGCACACTGCTACAGTTTCCCAACCCATAGTTTCTCTTCACAATGCCAGTATGGAAGCCGCTACCTGCACCCAGATTCCTGCTGCAATCTGAAGAATCCATCTCCTAGTTCTGCACACAGCAATTGAACAGCTGATATATTGGGTTGCACAAGCCTTGTGAGCAGTTGCAGCATCCTAACACAAGATTTGCACATTGTGATGCCTACTAAATGCAAGCAGGTCCTTAGGAACATTGTCAGGAAAGCACTCTTATTTGTGGTATGTTTTTGCTGAACGCTGTTATCTATCTACAATGCAACAGTGCAGAGTTTTCACTTTCACAGGCCTTTGGTCATAATATAGAGTTAACATCCTATCAAGTTACTTCTGTCTGGTGGTAGCCATTGTACTGTGGTACTTTGCCACATAGCTCCAATGATGGTACTTCCAAGTGATGGGGTATGGGTACCTATGGATGATATGCCAAAATATGTGTTTATTTAAAACATTTATATAGCGTCCCATCTTATATTGAATTCTGAGAAGCTCCCAATAAAATCCAAACCAAAATGCTGGTCATGATGCAAAATCAAAGCCCATCTCTTTTCTTCTGCATGTCAATGCCATCATCCACAAATTATAGTTCAGATGGAGGGTGTATTAAAGGATTTTAGGTTGTGCTTATGTCATCAGGAGTGAATCAGTCACATAGCCTTCTTAACTGCACTATTGTGTGGATTTTTGTGAGAAACAATAGAAAATAATTTGTACCCTACCTTGCTTTTGTATAATATTTGGAATATAAATTTAAAAAATAAATAAAAAATAAAAAGCCTTGAAAAACAAAAACAAAAAAATTAAAGGAAAATCCATTATGTGCATATTTTATATATGCTGGTCATTGTTGAGCTGAAGATAATTGATAAATATCTGAAGCAATTTTCTGGATCAAGTTTAACCACATTTATTAATCTGAATTGGTAATTCAAGATGTCTGCTTAAATGCTGAATTTAGTGGAAAGGGGAAAAGTGTTTGGCATTCTGCTGAATACTGAATAAATCCAGCCAGTGAGGGTGTGTATATGGGTTGTTTAACAAACCATTAATCATGGTTACAATTAACTAATTTATTGTGTTAAATTTGGACGATTGTATCTCCACACAGTACTCTCACAATGCACTGTGCAGAGACATTGTATTTGGTAGTATGGAAATTATATTGTCTCATATGCCAAATCATTCAGACTACAGCTTCTCTAATTTGTTTACATTTTAATATAAATGGTTAGTTTTGAGATCCAAATCTAAAAAGAGTGTTCGTATTTTGGCAAAGCACCAGAAAAGTTCAATTCATATTCTTCCCTATCTAATTTGGGAAATGGACAAATACACTCATCTATTAATAAGGAAATACGTTTGTTCACGTTATGCTACATATTTCTGGTATACAGTATATGTTATTCTGCACAGTTTCTCGTAGAAACAAGGATAGGTTTATGCCTGTACTGCTCCAGAGGATTTGGCAATGAAATTAGCATAAGCAACATTATATCCCCAGTGATCTGTTTTTATTAGAATTTCAACCATTGCCCCAAAAGCTTATTAGGAATGATTGGATTACTCATCTGCCCATCCACTGCAGCACACCTTCTAACATACATAACCTGATGCAGCACCCTAAAACTTTAAAATAATGTTTAAGCAAAGAGAAATTATCATATATGCTCAGGATACAAGCATTATTATTGTTGTTATTTTGAAGAATTCTCATTTCTTATGTAACTTGTAAATCAATTACATTATGTATTCTAGAATGAAATTATATTACAATAATTTTATTATATGTAAGAATAAAAATGTTTTTCAAGAATTTAACTCCAAAAAGCAATCTAATAAACTTATAAATATTTGTAGCTTTATCGTTTCTTTCAGCTGTGTCCACAAATATTTGTTTGGCTTAGATGAGCCAGGACTTGACACAAAATAGGTTCAATATATGCATTTAATGCTTTGTTGGCTTGATCCCAAAAAGAGGGATGGATGGATCACGTAGGTTGTAATAAGATTGCCCAGCAGGAAAGGATGAACTTATAACATCCAGAATAAGAAGCCCTACCTTGGTAGTATTTATGTCCAGGTACTTGGATGTTAACCTATTTTGACTTTATTTTCACAGATGCATGAATGTGGTAATGATATAATGTTTGGGATTATAGCGAAAATGCTGTGGTCTTTATTTTAATCTCTCCCTTCCTCTCTTTCCCTTTTCGATATACCCTACCATTGGTTTTCAAATTTAACTATAGCAGACAATGACGTCGGAAAGAACTCTGATTGGATGTAATGATTAATGGGAAGTTGCAGAAGGCAAAAGGTATATCCAGTCATCTGAAGTTAGCATTACGCTGCAGTAATAATATATATAGGACTTCCAGAGCTCACAGAGGTGTGATTGGAACAGTGTGATACCTTTTCTTAGCCTATGTGAACAGAAGAATATCTGCAAGGTTATTAATTTTCTCAAAAGCAAGAAGAGCAGTGTAAGACTTTTGTGCTATTTTAATTCTTTAATCCAGTGGGTGGGCTATTAATTAAGAGACACCTAAAAAATACTATCCATATATGTTGACATAAAAAAGCTTGTTCTTTAGCATAATTAAGTTGCTCAGTTGATTTATGATGGTACAAGTAAATTTTAATATGTGTGTAATTGCATTTTCAAACGTATCTACTACAGATTTGTTTAATAAAACTGTGGGCTGATTTCATTGCATCATGATATTTTACTACACAAGTTTCTTTTTCAATTAATCTAATGAAATAATTGAATTAGAATTTTTGCCAATTAATACTATAGGTTATTTTTATACACATAGATGAAATGAAAGACATGTAAAAAAATATAAGCAAACAATACAAGGGCAAATATTATAGAAAGCAAACTTAAAAGATACTATCAATTGGCTAGAAATTGAAAGAGGTTAATTATTTCAGTTTTACCTAAGACCTAAAATTGTCTATGTGTTCTTATTCATAATGTTTCTGGGGGAAAAAACTTAAGCCATAATCTGATACTGCTCATGATTGCCTAGAGCTAATTCCAGAACTTTTTTCTTGTGTTTCATATGATTCCTTGGAGGCACCATCACAAAAGAAGTACTCCTTTCCTTCACGAAAATTAAGAATGAATGACCCTTTGGTGAAGGCAACTGTTAACCATGGATTTTTTATTATCTCATCAGTGTTTGAAAAAGTGAACTGGTAAATAAAAATATAACTGATAAGGCTTCTAATCAATTAGGTTTTTTTAATACTGAAATTATTGTGACTATTATATTCAACTAGTTTTTTGAACAACTTCTCTTACAAAATATCAGGTGTGCTAATGGTGAGCAACATAATATTTTTAGCTGTCAGCATCTTAGCATCTCGTACAACCAAGAAACAAGAATCTCAGAATTGTCTTTAACTAGATGTAATGAAAGAGAAAAGAAAATTATGTTAGAAAATCTGGGTAACTGAATTCTTACTATTGCTTTAAAACTAAATTTATTTCTGAGTTCATAAGGATGGAGATTTCTTGATCATAAGAGATCCTTGCTGTTCTCTGAATTTGGTTATTTTCTTGCAGATATTTTATTGCTAAACTAGATAATCATCATGAGCACTGATCATGTTGCCTAGTTTGGATAATGAAATGTCTACAAGAAAATAACCAAATTCAAAGAACAGCAAGGACCCCCTCATTTCAACCCTGAGCTACAAATACCATGTTTCCCCGAAAATAAGACAGGGTCTTATTTTATTTTGACCCCTGAAATAAGCACTTGGCCATATTTTCAGGGAGGTATTATTATATTTGGGGTGCTGGAGGCAGCGAGCATGGTCACCTCGAGGCTGCTGCTGTGTTGCAATATTTTGGGGGAGGGCTTATTTTATCACATATGCTCAAAAGCTCGATTGGGCTTATTATCTGGGGAGGACTTATTTTGGGGGAAACAGGGAATCCTCCTGTATTGGTTTCTTGATCTTGTACTAACAATATATTGATTCCCTAGAAAAGATTCCAAATAAATGAAGAAAATGCAGTTCTGTGCTTGGAGAATTTTGAAAACTGCCACCCTCTTTTCCAGGCTATTCCCACGACACTTATCTCACTCCCACCCAATCACTAGTGCAGTGCACTAGTGATTCAGAATCATTGCTATACTGCTTATCCACTGCATTGGATTGGGACTGGTTATTATCACAGATTTATTTTGGATGGTATAAATGCAAGCAAGACATTGAGTAGAAATACTTTTAACTTTTGCAAGTTTTCCTCCCTTTATTTTTCATTGTTTGGAATGTGAGCACTCGGAATGTAGCCAGGTCAGGAAATGGAGTCCAGAAGAAATACTGAAATAGGCTTTACTAGGAGAATATTGAAAGGCTGAAGGTGTTTTTTCTTCCCCCTGCCTTCTACCAAAGAGAGCTAGTTTGGTATAATAGTTAAACTGTAGAAATCTAGAAACCAGGAGACTGTGAGTTCTAGTCTTGCCTTAGGCTTGAAAAACTGGCTGGGAGACTTTGGGCGAGTCATTCTGTCTCAGCTCCTCACCTGACAGGTTAGTTGTTGTGTAGAAAATAGGAAGATAAAGGAGCATTATTTGTTTGCTGCCTTGAGTTACATATAAAATAATAAAGATGGGCTGGAAAATATAATTAAATAAATATCAGAAGGCGTAGTTGTGGAAGGGAAGTTCCTCCTTTTTTACCATTTTGTAATTAAATTGCAATATAGGTACCATATACAAGGGAAGAAAGAGCATGCTTTTTAATAAAAAGCTTCCTTCCCCCTCATATTTGAATAACAATATATAAGAACTTGGCTTCAAGTTTTCTTCTGAAATAATTTTTATATGTTATGAATCTTGGTTTGTACGAGAAGCTAAATATTGCTAAGATAATCCCTGAGCGCTACAAAATCAGTCATTCATTGCTCTCACCTGATTAAAATGCCAACTGTAAAAATGGAAGATACTCTAACCTGGGGCAAAGTCCTATAATAAATAACCATGAAAGAAACTTCAGTCACTTCCTGACTTCCTCATGGAATAGAAGGATTATTTTTTCATGACAGCATTCTTCCAGGGTTTCATTGCCAAGGTTTTTTACACATGATTTTTCCTGAAATGGAGAATTAGAACTAAGCTATAACTACTCTTCTAGGACAGGTAATGTGATTTTGGTCTTTTTTTCACTTAGTCTTGTAGAAGATATGATTTCAAAAATGGATAAATCGTTACTTGGAAGCCATCATTGTAAATGGCTCTTACTATCAAATATTTTATTCATCTATTAATTGTAGAGAATCAGTTACTTGCCTTGAGAATAAGTATAAGTGCTGGGATAAAGGTTTCTCTAACACTAAGTTAAAACCGAATTCTCTAAATTTGGGAATTTGTTAATTTTTAATGCAAATAGTACAAATATGAATACAAATATTAATTGTGACATATAAAGCTTTATGATCAGGCCATGAGCTTCCATAATCCAAAATATATAGGAATTTAATTGATTTTTTTAAAGATGACATTTTAATATATATGGAAGAAAACAAATTCCGAGACTCTAGATCAAGGAAGAAATTTTAAAAAATCTTTCAGGTTTTTTATTCATTGTTGATTTATTTGTTAATCGTTATTCCACCAAATAAGAGCTTTTAAGTGTGATATAATGAGAAAAAAGTTTGAACATACCGGTATACCCATATTTTATCTTGTGGCTTCTGAAATACATTTTTATCATAGTTATATTTTATCCAAAGACCCAGCCTGCCCCACCCCTGACATATCCATATAACTCTGTCTCTGCAAAGTCCCATTAAAATTAGCAAAAATACTTAGAATCCGTACTGAGAATACTGCTCTATTTAAACATGGGTACACATAGCAACTTTTTAAGAAAAATGTTTTACATTTGTGACTCTCAGAGTATAAATTTGTTTAAAGTTATAACTTTGACCATGGTGATTGTAGCAGTAGCATAGTAATACATTGGAAGTCTCAAAATTTCCTGGCATTTAGAACAATTAATCAGTGGAACAGCTTGCCTCCAGAAGTTGTGAATGTTCCAACATTGTAAGTCTTGAAGATGTTGGATAGCCATTTCTCTGAGGTGGTGTAGGGTTTCCTGCCTAGGCAGGGGGTTGGACTAGAAGACCTCCAAGGTCTCTTCCAACTTTGCTATTGTATTGTAAATAAGTTTGACAACTCTTAATGCCTTTTTGGCAATATTGTTACAGTGAGCTCTGAGGCTTAGATCTTTTGAGATGAGTACTCCTAGGTTCTTGACAGAGTGTGGGTCATCTATTAGGTTGTATCCACCCTGCTTGTATTTGGTGTTCTGGTTTTTGTTGCGAATGTGTAGGACAGAGCATTTGTTAGCAGAGATTTGGAGTTGCCAATTGTTCAACCATTCAGATACATACTCAAGGTCGTTTTGTAGGGTGGTAGTATTGTCTGTGGTGTTAAATAATTTTACGTCGTCAGCAAAAAGAACGGAGCTGCTTATAACATGATCACAGTGTTTATGTAAAGCAGAAAGATATAGGTCCTAATAGGCTGCCTTTGGGGACATCAATGTTAACTGTTGCAGTGTTTGATATTGTGCTTTCAATTTTTGACTACTTGTTGCCTGTTTGATAGGAATGCAGCTATCCACCTGTGCAAAGATCCAGAAACTCCTTAGGAGCTTAGTTTTAACAGAAGTTTGTCATGTACCACTGAATCAAAGGCTTTGCAGAAGTCTATGTAGATTGCATCTATTGCTTTACCCTGGTCAAGTTGTGTGGTACAAATGTTTTTGCAGTGTAGGAGCTGCAGATTACAGGACAGATTTTTTCTGAAACCAAATTGCTTGTTTGAGAGTAGGTTGTTTGTCTCTAAGTGGAGAGTGATGGATTGATTTATGATAGATTCCATAACTTTACAGAAGACGCAGCAAAGGTTGATTGGTCGGTAATTCTCAACTAGGGAGTAGTAAGGTTTTCTCTTTGTATTTCATGAAAGGTGGATCTGTACTTTCTTCTTAGCCAATTGCAGTCCGAGCCGCTGACCACTTCCTCAATGCAGACATGGCTGACATTCTCCTCCCACTCCAGTCCATTGGAAATGCACTCTACACCTATGCTTTCCAGCTATGTTTCAAAACTGCTGTTTTCTGATCTGAGCCTCCTTCAGAGGAGACCATCTCCAGCCCTTCATTTCTTTTAGGAGCACCCCAACTCCAACTGGCCCCAGAGTTTAGCACATCTCTTCATTTGTGGAAGCTGGTTTCCGTCTTGGGCAGTCATCTTCTTCTAGATTGATTGGCTGCTATGTTCTCTGCTGGTCGACAACAATTAGTTCTCTGCCCTTCACCCCAGAAGCGCATGTTCCATTCATCCCTTGCATTTCCCTTTATGTTTCTACCTAGTAAAGAGACAGAATAAGTGAGTAAAGAATGTTCCTTGTGCTCTCCCATCCCTTTTCCATTGTACTGCAAAGCTTCCCTTCCCTTTTCTTGTTTTCTAAAAACATCTTTAAGGTGCAATATATAAATACGTTATTTCTATGAAGAATTCTGGCTTGCCATAAACTTACTAAGATGCTACAGAGAAATCTAAAAACTAAATGAACAAAACAACAACAACAACTGTTCCCTGTTGTTTTGGGTGTTATTGTAGAATTATAATGATACCAAAAAGAAAAAAGAAAAAAAACACCTACCTCCCCCCCCCCTCTGTAATTTTAGTAGAGTCAATACAGATAATGAGGAAAGGGAGAAGTGAAGGCATTCATGTGTGCAAACGTCTGAGAAACTAAAGGAATAATACAGAGACTAGTGAGTTAACAAACTCTAAAAGGAAAGACAGGCATTGGTAGATCAGTTCACACAAGAACTGCCTGCAAAGTTTGCTTTCCCTGCATAGTTGGGAAGAGCAAGAAGCAGAGAAGCATCCAATTGGCTGTGCAATGGCTATAGCTTGGACTGAGCACCAGCTGGGTCCCATTGCCAATCATTGCAATCTGGACTGGAACTTCTAAAGTTGGCATAAGGAACAGGTGAGAGCTGCACAAGAGGCAAGCAACGTAGACTATACAAGAGTGTTGAATTGCCATAAACGTTTTAATAAAGCGTGTCATCTTTTTCTATGTTTATTATTATCATTTCTTGAATGGAAATGAAAGAAAGAAAGAAAAGAAAAGAAAAGAAAGAAAGACCTGCTGCAAATCATCCAGAAATGTTATAATTTAGCAAAAAATCGAAATGTTATCTTCCAGTTCTAGTATTCTACTCAGAAAACCTCCAAGAATTATTATCAATAAAGTGTCAGTATCCTTCAGTCAGCTGTTTCAGAAGGACTTGCAATATCTGATTTTTGACTCAAGTTGTTTTTAAAACAGAGGATAAATCAACAGATATCAACCTGATCTAGTTACACAAAATAATATAGAATCGGGGAAAATAATTTTAATTTACATAAATTTATTGGGCATTATTTCAGGGTTGTCTAACACTCTCTGGTCTTTCTTAGGAAAAATGCATACTAGTCCTATCTCTAAATTTATAACTTACTCATAAATTCCAGATTCGTGTTCATGATGTTGCTAAAATATTTATCCTTTTATTCTATTGCTCATTCCTATCTCCTGCTTTTCTCCAACAGGCTGCAAATAATCACGTTGTTAAAACAAGATGGTCGTACTTCAAGCTGTAAGTCTATAAATGTTTGTATGGTGTATTGAATTGAATTGAATTGAATTGAATTTATTATATTTCTATGCCGCCCTTTTCCCCGAGGGGACTCAGGGCGGCTCACAACCCAAGTCGGGGAGGGGGGGGTTACAAATAAGAAAAAAGAACACGAACAAAACAATACCACAATTTAAAACACTCAACAACCATACCATTCGAGGGGGGACAAAAACTCATTAGCCCCAGGCCTGTCAGAACAGCCAGGTTTTAAGGGCTTTGTGGAAGGCCTGGAGGGTGGTGAGGGTCCGAATCTCCACGGGGAGCTCGTTCCAGAGGGTCGGAGCAGCCACAGAGAAGGCCTCTCCTCCGGGTAGTCGCCAGTCGGCATTGGCCAGTAGATGGAATTCGGAGGAGGCCTAATCTGTGGGATCTGATCGGTGTATTGGAGGTAATTGGCAGCAGGCGGATGGATCCATGGATCCA